TGCCCAGGTATGGAGGAGCTTTGTGAGATACTGCCATGGCTGAGCTCTTTATAACGCACTTGTGAGAAGCCAAAGCAACATAGGAAAACACGTCTACTCGGAGTTGAGCAATGTGACTGATGCCATTGTCGACAGTTGCCTCGCTCTGCTCCCAGAAGCTTGCTAAGGTCCAGCCGCCTTCCTGACTAGCCTGGTCGATCCAGTGAAGAGCCGGGAATTTAATCATAGAGCTCTTTGGCAGAAAGATGATGATTTTTTTTAAGGCGTTCAAGAGCCGAGATGGAAGCTCTTGAGGTGCCAAGGGAGCGGTCAAGTTTGTGGAGATTCCAGGAGCTCTTTTGTCGCAGGAGTTCCCTGAACAAATTGCCGGTGAGCTCTACGATTTTCTAGCAAATCTATGAAGAAATTTTTGTGGCATTATTTGCCTTGATGGCTCATCTCATTTTGTGTCAATGGGATTTTTGGATAGTGAGTTCCTGGGAAATAATGAATTGAATTTTTGTATTGTTTGCCTTGATAGCTCATAGGTTAGTAGCGAAAGGACAATATGACCATGGAAACGCTTGCTTCCATACTTGCTTTAGATATACCAGCACTTCAGAATCGTCCAGAAGCCAATTATCACGCATATATCCTCAAGAGATTGTTTCGAATGCTGCCAAATGCAAACAAGATGAATTAGTATGAAATCTCATCAATGAGAGAATGCTAGAACTTTGCAAGCTCGAGGCTGATGAGAAGGAGATTGAGTAGCAATCTGGAAGGACACTTTACATTAATGTGAAGAAAAGAGTTAGAGAAAAAGAAAATAAGTGGAAGAACATGTATTGTAATTCTATTAGAGGGTGTGATGCATTGGCAAGGCTCTTTTTTTAGAACTCCAAGGTCCTTTCTTGCTTTCTTCTTAGCAGCCAGTGCTTTGAACTGATTGATCCATTTTCTATGTAATTTATGATATCTAATATTTATCATATAAATTATCATGTTTTAGTTCTATTTAGTTAGGTAAATATTAGATAAAAGGCACATTATTTTTTATAAAATCTTGGAATCAGAAACATAAATGCCAAGATATTATTCAATTTTGAATCCTTACAGATTATTCACATGATAACATGGTTATTCTCATGTATTGTATCTCTTAGCTTGTTCTGAAATATTTTAGTCCACTATCCTATCGATAATCTAAATAACATGTAATATATTCTAACATTTTATGTATACTATGTCAGATTTGTAGCATTATTTCTTGATTGAACAATTTTTCTATCATTTTAAAACATCTTTGTAAATTTATTTCTAATTTATTCCAGTGTAGCTGTACTTGGTAAGAAACAAATCTTTAATTAGAAGAATTCTGTTTAAAGTAACCTCACTCCTCTATCACCACTTGAAGCATAAAATGCTCGTTGTATTGCCACAGATTCAGAATGTCGACTTTACGCACAGGAGCTCCACAAGTGTCATTGTTGCCCCCATGAGAAATGGAATGATCAAGCCCATAATCAAATGAAATATTAGCTTCCACCTTTTGTTCTTGTTGAGGAAATGAACTGATTGAGCAGTGCATATATTTGGAATGGTGTGAAGTCCAGTATAGATGATCCATGTTAAAATCCAACCCGGCCAATGACCCTTGAGTGAAATTATTGTGGTCCCGACATTCATCCCTCCCACTAAACCTCCACTAACAAACAAGGTGATGGGTTTGATATCACTCGTAAAATAAATCCACACAATGTAAAGCATCATATTTATCATGCAAATGATGCTAAACATTCCACTGCTCATCTCTGTGATGAAGCAATACCCATACTTGAGTATAGATCCCTGGAAAAGACATTGAAGTATTAGAAAAAAATTAATTCACACAATTTCACATACCTCATTATAACCATAATAGCAATTGTAAAAGCTATTCTCCTTAAGAATAAGACAGTTAACACATAAGAAACCCGTAAGGATCAAAAGTCCGGCAACAAAGTAATCTCGACATTGACTTAAAAACTTTTTTTGTTGTTCAGTAAACACTCTTTCCTTCTCTTTCCACATATCAAACCTTAACTTGGCTTTTAGCAACTCATAATAATGATCGTTATCTTCCATCCAATCAATCTCTCCCTCCATAGGAAAAACTTTTGATCTGTGAGGTTTCCGAAGACACAACTCTCCATGAGATCTGTGCGGTATGCACGCAACGGAGCTCATATCCTTTAACGCCATCTACTACAATGTAAAATCCTTTACAGAAACCTAGATTTATACAATGAATTATCCTTTTTCCCAAAAAGGAGTGGCGGCACGTGGCAAATTGATCTGGAAGTGAAACAATCCACGGGGGATGAGCTCAACACTCTGGGCATCTCATTTGTGCTCCTTGACTACGCTCCTGGCGGTGTCAATCCCCCACACGTCACCTCCATTACCCTCTCAACAGTGTCTCATATCAAGGATATTTTTCTCTCATTCCATGGCAGCAACAATGCTGGCAATTCTCATCACCCTCTTTGCCTTTGCGTGCTCACCAAAACCACTTGTTCACGCTGCATGAGGACATGCTCCAGGAAGTTTGTGTTGCAGACAACAACAGCACTATCACCATCAATGGCAAGGTTTGCCATGGGCTGTATGTAAGTTGTGGAGGGAGGCTTTCAGGGATATATCTCGCTTTGAAGAGCCAGGGTACTTGCCATACGGGTTCCACCCGTATCGCCGCCGAATGCTTTGCTGTTTCCTTGAATCATTCCGCAGTCTGGAAGAGTTTTACTTCATCGCTTCGATCCAGCAGTCTGGGAGGCACTAGTGCGCAACAGCAACCATCTCTTCACGCCGAGGCTCAAAGTCTTGCTTTTGTGTGTCCGAGAAGTAGAACTAGATCTCTCCTTCCTGTCCTTAGCATCTCCGCACCTCGAGGAGCTCTCCATCAGTTCAACTGTCCAATTCAAATCCCTTCCACGCTTGGCGAGGCTCAAGCGATGCATTCTAGAATTTCGGGGCAAAAGCGAGAGTGCCAAGAGAGAATTGGAGGAGTTTGTGAGCACGGGAACGCTTTTGGAGTACTTGTGCTTGCGACTGGTGTGTGCCAACCTCGAGTTACACAACCCCAACATGAACTTTTTGGAGCTAGAGTTTGGCGAAGGCATCTTCACTGTTAATGCTCCAAAGCTCAAAGGTGTGGCGCTGACAAATACGAGGGGAAGATTAGTTCTACAGGGTAATAACCTTGAGAGGCTGCTCCTTGGTTTCTCTTACATAGACAAGGTAGAGGTGATTCCTTCTCCACTCGGTTTTTTACGCACATTGGAAGTAGTGGGAAGTTATTTTTCAGTTGAAGTGCTGGAATCATATTTATGGTCTTTCCTCGGCAAGATGCCGCAGTTGGAATGTCTGAAACTTTTTCCAGGATTTTCATATGGCCAAGAGTCGTTATGCATCATGGAGTTTCTCATGCACTTTCCTAAAATCCGAGAACTGAGCATGAACATGAGCATGTTGAGAGTAACCTTTGCATCTTACTGATCACTCATGCCTTCACTAAATGAATTCGTTTGTTGGTGAGCAGGCATTCAGGAGCAACAAACACACAAAGCTCAACCTCGAGAAGCTCCAAGTTTTGGAAGTCCGGCTGTTGAGTTCCAAGTTTGATGAGCTTTACTTGATGAGGAGGAAGAGGATGCTGTCGAGGAGGTAACAAAAGTTTTGCTAGCAGCGGCACCCAACGTGGGCTTCCGCTTGACTATTCCAGGTATTCTAGTTTTCTATATATCGTTCCTCTAGAAACGCTTGAACTTGTAACACAGAGAATGACACTTACGACGATTCTCCTCCAAGCCCGCTCCTGTTCACTCGTATTGTCCAGCTTTTCGTTCAGAGGAACAAGAGACGTTTCGCATGGCCCCGGATGTTAAACTACTTTCCTGGGTATGAAGATCTACCAACAAGAGTTCCAGATTTGTTCGAAGAGGATGAAACCAAAGGTATTTCTCTTCTATTTCTCACTCATCTCTTTAGAATATCTTTTGTAGGGTTACCGGAACAAAAGGTTTGGATGTAGGATATAACCCGAATGGCCAAGGACTTGCTACAGCTTGCTCAGCCATTGCTTGATGTCCAGCCAGGATCATGCAGTGAAAAGTTTCGAAAAGGATCAGTAAGGACGTTGTCATGTTTTCGCTCAAGAGGATGGCTTTCCAGATGGAGGTGTCGGGGAATGCTTTCGATCCAGCGCGGACAGAGGTCGGATACCGGCCGATTGTCGGTCACTTCCTCGCGGCATTCACCTCTCTGGCTCCAAAGGTTGGAGAGCGCCTCGAAGAGTGCCACGACAATACGGGTGTTGATTCCTTCCAGGATGACAAGAGCGTTGGAGAGTTTGCAAAGAAGTTATTCACCATCTTCATCTTCTTCTTTGTCACCATTGCCATCAACTTTCTTTTCTAGCTTCATCGTAAACTTCTCCATCCTCGTCCTTCCTTTGCTTTTCAACTCGATCAGCATGCTCCAGCGGGCCGTGACTTGTCCGAGTTCTTTCGTCTCGATGAGCAAGCCAAGAGTTTCACGAACGAGGCAGTCCTCCTCCGGATGTATGGACGTGACCGCGCCATCAACCAGCGCATCACTCTGGGAGTTTTGGGTGGAAGAGGCACGGGTGAATGGCCGGACGATGCCTTCGAGATGTTCTACTACGGCTGTGCCGCCGCGGTGCGCAACATACGAGCAGGGAGGATGGACAAGATCCCGTGCATTGCCGTTGGACTCAAATTGTGGGCTTCGGGAGAGATCGATCTGGTGGGTTTCGTCCGGGTCACCGCCAAGAACAAGATCACGAGCTCAAGCGCCGCAGCGTTCAAGTCCCACGTCGAACAGAAGTGCGAGTGTCTGGAGCTGCGAGGCCAAGGCCGCAGAGCCCGCAAGCTTAGGCGAAAGTATCTCCAAAAGAGCGATGGAGCGCTCATCGCTGCTCTCGAGGAGGAGTTCGCGCAAGAACAGCCGAGGCCGCCATGAATCTCGACGAGAAATCTTTCCAAGAGGTGGAGCATCGCTACAAGCCCAGTGCATTCGCAGCCAAGCCATGCAATCTCCTCGTGGGAGATGCCACATATCCGCCCCAATCCTCCACGATGCTGCGGTTTCCACTGGATAGAAACGCAAGGTCTGACGATGGTGACAAAGACCTGGTGTCGGGGATGGCTTTGGAGACCGTGTTCTTGGCTGGAGCTTGAGAATCGTGGAGAAGCTCTCGCGTGATCGTGGCCACAAGGATATGTGCTAGCGCTCTTGTATCTTAAAGAATTTCTTCCATCTCTCAAGAGTTCTTCCATACTTCGTTTTTCTCGACTCAAAGACAAGCGTTATAGGCGGGAAACATACGAATATGCTTTAAATGATGCCTTACTTGTGGCTAAAGAAATAGCTTGAACCATAAATTCGAGCCTTAGGGTTTATTCACTAGGGAGTTTGTTCTTGAGCTTCTTGAAAATGGTGAGCGCCATTTCTTTCTTGCGATGGATCGATGCGCGGCTGATCGATTTCTTTCCAGGCCGAGGAAATGCGGCGGATCATGGACAAGACGCACAACATCCGGAACCTCTCGGTGATTGCGCATGTCGATCACGGTGAGGCGGCGACAAATCTCTGTGTCCTTGTCGATTCTCATGCCCAGGCGCGCAGGGAAATCCACACTCACGGATTCGCTGGTCGCGGCCGCTGGATTCATCTCGCTCGACAACGCCGGCAATGTCCGCATGACCGATACGCGCAAGGACGAGGCGGATCGCGGGATCACGATCAAGTCCACGGGGATTTCCCTCTTGTACACGATGCCGGACGCGGCCCTGAAAGGTAGGTTCTTTCTTCCAGATCGAGGCCGGGATTCTTTCTAAGCAAAGCGAGCTTCTTTCTTTCTTCCCTCAAGATTTCCGGGGGAGCCGCGACGGGAACGAGTACCTGATCAACCTTGTCGACTCTCCCGGGCACGTAGATTTCTCCTCCGAGGTCACCGCGGCGCTGAGGATCACCGATGGCGCTCTGGTGGTGGTCGACTGCGTGGAAGGGGTTTGCGTCCAGACCGAGACTGTTCTACGGCAGGCGCTGGGAGAGAGGATCAAGCCCGTCCTGGTCGTCAACAAGATGGATCGCTGCTTCCTGGAGCTCCAGCTCGACGGAGAGGAGGCTTACCAGACTTTCCAGCGCGTGATCGAGAACGCCAACGTGATCTTGTCGACTTACGAGGACAAGCTTCTCGGCGATGTCCAGGTCTACCCGGAGAGAGGCACGGTGGGCTTTGGGGCTGGTTTGCACGGCTGGGGCTTCACTCTCACGACCTTCGCGAAGATGTATGCGTCGAAGTTTAAGGTGGACGAGAAGAAGATGGTCGAGAAGCTGTGGGGCGAGAACTATTTTGATCCTGCGACAAGGAAGTGGACGACCAGGAACACTGGCTCTCCCACTTGTACGCGTGGGTTCGTGCAGTTCATCTACAATCCTATCAAGCAGATCATCGACATCGCGGTGAACGACCAGATGGACAAGCTCTTGTAAGCTAGATTGTTTCTTCGTTTGTTTCGATAGTCACACTAATAGCTTTGTGTTATTGTGGACAGGCCAATGCTTCAGAAGCTTAACGTTACCTTGAAGGGCGAAGACAAGCAAAAATCCGGGAAAGCTCTAATGAAGCGTGTCATGCAACTGTGGCTGCCCGCGAGCGATGCGCTGCTGGAAATGATCATCTACCACCTCCCGTCACCAGTGGTGGCCCAGAAGTATCGCGTGGAAAATCTCTACGAGGGGCCTTTGGACGACAAGTACGCTGCTGCCATCAGGAACTGTGATCCTAAGGGTCCTCTTATGGTCTACGTTTCCAAGATGATCCCGGCTAACGACAACGGCCGGTTCTACGCTTTTGGAAGAGTCTTCTCGGGCACTGTGGCTACGGGGATGAAAGTGCGTATCATGGGACCGGCGTATGTTCCCGGGGGGAAGACTGACTTGTACGTGAGGAGCGTCCAGAGGACACACATCTGGATGGGAAAGAAGCAAGAAACGGTGGATGACGTCCCCTGCGGCAACAACGCTGCCATGGTCGGGCTGGACCAGTTCATCGTCAAGAATGCCACCCTGACCAACGAGAGTGAGGTGGACGCTCATCCGATCCGGGCCATGAAGTTCTCGGTCTCTCCAGTCGTCCGGGTT